TGAACAATGTTTAATTTGATCTCCATGGTTTTACAAAGGAACAGACATGGGTTTTCTCATCTATTGCATTGCATGATCATATGTATTTCAATTAATTATATAATTTGTTAATGGTATTTCCTACTGGGCAATTGCTCACCCCAAAACTAACAACTTTTATTTGTTAGTGGTATTTCCTACTGGGCAATTGCTCACTGCAAAACTAACAACCTTTCAAGGACTGATGTGGACGCTTTACCTAAGTGATTAACATCAAGAAGTAACGGTGGATGGTAGTACAGAGGCTCTTTTTTGTGTTATGTGATAAAGCCTTGGACTACTTTTGTGTGGAGTTAGATCTTCATCTTTTGTGTACTCATGGAAAATCCTTGAAAAGATATAAGCCCTTAGGGCATTTTGTTTGTATATTCTCTTATGTTTTGAACTATTAATCCTTTTGAATATGTGTTCAAACAATGATGTAACCATATGGATAGTTTAAGTGAGAATAGATGACTTTGGTATATGTAATAGATTATTTAATGCATTGAATTATTTGTATTAGTTATGATATTCTTGTATTAGTACATTGAAGAGTGGTGAAATATCAAGGCATTACAAATTGGTATCAGAGCTAACCGGATTTGCATACTTAGAGATCGTAGGATGTGGCTCATGTCGTAATGTGTTTATCATGTTGGGATATGATGTTAGTGTTTTATATGTTATGTGTTTATGTGTTGTGTAATTATGTGGGTATGAGGTTAAGCTTCTAGGATATAACTTGTGTTTATCACATTCATCGAAATCCCTTTGGAAATGCACCTGATCAATGCTTTTTCCACTTGGAAGTCTTTGATTGTCATGGGATGAGTTGATATCTTGGAAGGTGATCTGTATACGCTCTAGGTATGTTGATGTGGTTTGTCTTATGTGGAATAGATACGTGAATAGGGCTGAGATTATTCGAGTGTGACGTGTGGGTATATGAATTGCGTGTTAATCCCACCTTAAATTTACTCTTATATACAATGTCTGGACGTGGCACAGGCCGTGGTAGACCTTGCCGGGGTGGTCAGGATATTTTGGCCCAGCAAGATCTTCCTCTCTAAGAAGAAGGGGTTGGACAAAACAATGTGATCGTACCTCTAGCCTAAGATGTGATGTGGGCATTAGCTCGAGAAATGGCCGGGGCTCTTTGGGAGTCCAACATATTACAAGCCGAGCAAGCGACTAGAGTAGTGGAGGGGGAAACTAGGACCTCCTTTTTGAACAAAAGAGTTTTTCATTCTAATCCTGACGAGTTTATGGCAAACTTGACCCCATGAAAGCCGATGAATGGTTAGAGCAAATCCTTAAGTCCTTTAAAATCTTGGATATTTATGAGGACTCCGAGTGGCATTGGCGGCTTATCAATTAAGCGGGGAAGCCGATCAATGATGGAAGACAGTTAAGCACCAGATTGAGCACACTTGGGAGGCATTCACTCACGCCTTTTAGGAGAATTTTTTTCCTCCCACTGTTAGGGAGAGGTTGAGGAAACAATTCGAAGAGCTTAGGCAACTAGATACACCAGTGGCAGAGTTTGAGGCTACTTTCACCAGTTTGACAATTTTTGCACCTGAGCTTGTAGTGACTGAGGAGCGCCGATGTTTAGAGTTTAAGAAGCGATTGAGGCCCAAGATCTTGATGAAGATAATGCGGAACATGTTTGGGGAGTACGATAGGCTTGTGGAAGCTGCAACTCATGTGGAGATCATGTTAGAGGCCGAGGAGTCTAGACAGAAGAGGTCGGGTTCTTCTTTCCAATCATCACCACATCAAGCCAAGTCTTCAGGGTCTATTTCTTTGAGGAATTCAGAAAATACAGTTTTGAGCCGTATCACTTGTTTTAAAATGTGGCCAATAGGATCACAAAGCTTCTGAGTGTAGATAGAGTTTGGGAGAGTAGCAATCGGCTCGTTCATAAAGCCAGTCTCAAGGGAGGAGTCAAACACCTACATGCTATCATTATGGACAGTCGAGGCACATGATGGCATCTTGTCATCAATTGGCCGGGACAATCAATGCTTTAGGATCCCGGCAAGCTGGAGGTTATTAGGTAGGCTAGAGTCATCAACCAGCTTAGTCTAGACAGGTACTGAGAGCAATGCATGGGGCCACTTCTGCGTAATCAGTGCAACCAGCCTATGTTCAGAGAAGTGATCGCAGAGAGTAGGGACCACAAGGGCGAGTTTATGCCATTACTTCATTCTAGTAGTCGTATGGACCATTGGTAGTGAGAGGTACTTATCTTATTTTCAATACATGGGCCAGTGTGTTGATAGATACCGAAGCATCCCACTCATTCACAGCATCTACATTTGCATCTATCTTGGGATTAGAAAGTGAGCAACTAGAGTTTCCACTTATGGTAGAGTTACCTGTTGGGGAAAAGTTGTTTTGAATCGAGGATGTCCTGGGTGTGTCATCGAAGTAGCTGATCGTCAACTTCCATTCAATTTTGTGTTATTAGAGATGTCCGATTTTGATGTCATCCTTGGCATGGATTGGTTATCCTTTTACTGGGCCATCATTGACTGTTATCATAGGAGAGTTACTGTCTGCACATTGGGTAGTGATGGTTTCTCATTTCTGGGGGATAGAACCGATAGGTTGTTGTAGCCATTGCATGACCCATGCAGTCGAGGAAAACTTAGCTCTTTTCTTACAACCTTCATAGATGGTGGGAGTGGTATGACTAGAGGTGTATTCCCTAGAATAGTTTGTGAGTATTCAAATGTCTTGTGAGAGGATCTCACCAAATTACCACCTCACTGTGAAGTTGAGTTTTCTATGGACTTAGTGCTTAGCACGGCACCCATCTCCACATCACCCTATAGATTTGCGTCGGCAAAGTTGCTCATTTTGAAGGAGCGATTACAAGAGTTACTAGACAAAGGCTTTATACGCCCCAGTACTGCACCATGGGGAGCACCAGCTCTTTTCACCAAAAAGAAGGATGGTTCGTTGCAGTTATGCATTGATTATAGTAAGTTGAATAAAGCCATAGTTAAGAACAAGTACCTGTTGCCTAGAATAGATGACCTTTTCGACCAACTTAAGGGTTCTCTGTGTTTATGGATCTAAGGTTGGGTTACCATCAGTTGCAGCTGAAGGAAGAAAATATTCCGAAGACGGTCTTTTGTACTCGATATGGTCATTATGAGTTTCTTGTGATGCCGTTTGGTTTGACCAATGCCCCTGCCATTTTCATGGACCTAATGAATCGAGCCTTCTGAGAGTATTTTGATAAGTTTGTAGTGGTGTTCGTAGAAGACATTCGTAATTATTCACCTTTCGAGGAGGAGCATGAGGGACACCTCTGTATTGTTTTGCAACTTCTTAGAGAACATCGATTGTGTCACACCCCAAACCCGCCCCTAAAAGTTTGGGCATGACCACTTCAGAAACGGACATTTAACTTGATATATAAATATGAGATATGGGGCCTGAAAGGAAGCATTAATATTTTAAAATAACAGAAAACCATCTCCATTGAGGTATAACTACCATGCCAGGATCACTAACGGAACATAAGGCAAATAAACATACAGTGACGTGCATCTGAGAATTTAGCTATATGCTTATACACATACATATACAGACCCAGCCCTCAAGATTGGGCGTATAACAAAAGCATTGAAAGGTAAAAGGATTATATACACTTCTTCTTTAGACAGACAATCAGGGTACAAAATCAAAAGTTTAGCAAAACTCCATAAAATGAGTTGCCTTCATCTAAGTGCCTGGACACCCTGAGGTTGACATAAGAGGAACGGATGCCTTGGGTTGAGACTGACCCCCAGGTGGAGTGCCTACAGAAATAGACATAACATAAAGTGAGCCAAACTCAGTGAATAGTAGTACGTAACAATTTAACAATTAACTTGAATTACAATGTACATGTATAAGGGCGGAGGACATATAGTTAGCTTTATCCTGTAATTATTTTCAGAATGGCCTTAGGCCTATGGTTTTCAGCCCTTAAACAAAACGACATTAAGCCCTTAAACAGACGGCATTAAGCCCTTTTCATGCATGTATGAACTCAAAAGGTGGCTCGCACGGATTCTAGAGGTGACTCGCATGGCATCACTTAGTTCCGTGCAGCACTTTGTTTCATACTAACAGATCATACAGAATGGCCATAGGCCTAGATGTCACAAACTGGCCATAGGCCTCACAGATGTTACAGAACGGCTATAAGCCTCATAACTTTCACAGAACGGCCATAGGCCTCATAATTTTCACATCGGCTTTAAGCCCAGTTCACATATGTATGAACTCAAGAGGTGACTCGTACGGATTCTAGAGGTGGCTCGCATTGCAGCACTTAGTTCCGTACAACACTTTGTTCCATACCAGAAATCATTAGGTCTTAAAAACTGAACCACCCATATCATGTCAGAGCATAGCATAACTGGAACAGATAAACAGAAAAAATTCATACATATTCTTAATTATGCTTAAATCATAAACAGAAATCAGAGTTCATACTTGATTATACTTGGTACTTTCAATAGCGCTAACAAATCAATATAGGGCATACTTGTTAGTTCCATAATGGAACCTCCGGTACCGGGAACTTGTAACATACTTGAACCACGGTATTATTACCCCCGGGCAAGGGCTATAAGACCACGGTATTCTTACCCTCGGGTAAGGGCCTTGTGCTAAGAATGCCATGAATACTTATATATATATATATGGACAATCATTCATTAATTCAAAACGTAACATATCAGAAAATAGAACATTTCTTGCCATATCATGTCATTACAATACGCTTAACAAAAACAGAACAATTTACATTCTAACGTGGGTTACATAATGATGTTAAACCCTTGCATTCATGTCGTAGATTCTAAACGACCTCGGGTCCATACGTAACATAATAGAATAATCGTGGATTCATACAAATACCATTGTTCAAGGATGAACATAAGTTCCATTTATTCTTTAAGAAGTAACATAGTGTGCTGATAAATAATAGAGGGTTAATATTTGTTATTGACAGAACAAAAGGATTCCAAAGTCATACCGATGTGTGCAAATCTTTCAATGTTCATATAAGTTCACACTGATTTCCAATCGTCATAAATGTTTGTGTACCACTTACAAAGAACAGAGTGTTAGTGACAATAATTACCAACAGTAAATAAAATATACATTTCTGTACTGCTACTCACAGTGATCGGCTCCCGGTAGCAATGGGACGGTGTCCTCGTTTCGACCTACAGCACAGTGCACAACACATAATATGAGATTATACTCGATCCTTTACTTATTCTCTTTGATCATTCAATCAATTAGCCATGGTGGTACCAAGCTCATTATTCCTTAATAAGTTATAATCCATGTCTCAGAAAACAGGAGAAGTCGATGGGAAATGGTTTAGGTGAAGAAATGGTACAAAACTGGTTGACAAAAAGTGAACAGTTGTCACTAATTTAGGCATAACTATTTCTGTATTTAGATTTTGGGAGTGAGACCACCTCCATTGGAAACTAGACTTCCGGGGCTTGATTTGAGGCTCAAGAATCGCTCAAAACGGAGTCCCGAGGAAAAAGATATGCTTATTCAAAGTTAGCTGGACAAAGCTATCTCCCGCACGTGCGGGAAACAGAGCCGCACGTGCGGTGCGGCTCTGGGCAGTTTGCTGTCCGAAAATGGCTCTATTTTCTCCAACACTTGGTTTTTCCATTTTTAAACTTGGTTCTTAATATAAATCACTCAAAAACATGTAAAATTATCTCATAACATGATAAACTAACATCAATCAAGTGTAATTCCATTTTAAACAAATCAATCTTTGCCTCAAAAACAGAAATTCAAGTCTCATCTTCTATATAATCAAGCTTCTATAATATATATACCCTAAAATCATACAAATACATCATACACATGGTTGATCTTCACACCACAACTTGGTATTCCATGAATCATTCTTAAGATTGAACCCAATTCAAGCAAATTTAAAGAAATCAATGTTCAATTCCTTGAGTTTAACTCATTTCATTCATAACCCAACACACTTGTTCATTTGCATATTAATTTTCCCCAAATCCATCATTCATTTCATGTAGTAGATGCATTATTTACAAAGATAATAGTTGAAGCCACATACCTTAACTTAATTCCTTATTTTTCCCCTTTAATCTCTTCAATTTTCCAAGCTTCCATGGATGATCCTCTTTCCCTCTCTATCTCTCTTTCACGGTTCTCTCTCTCCCTCTCCCTTAGATATTTATTTGACTTCAAAATGATAAAACCCCCAACTCACATGGCCTATCCATATATGTATATATCACATACTTAAGCTTAACACAACGGAGAGCCAAACGTGGCCTTACGAATCGCGCAAAATTAAATTTCAATTAAACTTTCCAGATGACTCTAAAAATTATGATGATCATAAATATGCCCCCTGTTCTGGTTTCTGAAGCCTCTAAGGCCTTCAATTTGCAGTACCAAGGTAACCACCCAAACATACATTGACGAATCAGACAAATTAGATTTCCAATTAAGTTTCCTAAATAGTTATAAAAATTTCAATTAACACATCCAAGTCCTCAATTGTGATTTCTGAACCCATAAAGGTCGGTAATTTCAATTTTAAAGCCGTGGCTCAACAGTTAATTCCTCAATTTAAACACATATCATTAAATTAAAATGCATTAACCCATATAAGGTTGTAAAGGTAATATTTAATACGATTTTGGGGTTGTTACACTAAAAGTGAGTAAAGACAAAATTTAATCAGTTTAATCATCCCTAATCAAATTTTGATAAAAATGCTTATTATTACTTAAAAATTATGTTGATCTCAGATGTAAAATCAATTTCAGGTAACTAAGCCTCTAAGGCTTCCAATTTCTGATTTAATCATTATAATTGTGACAGATGCTTTCCTTACCAAACAGATAGAGGTTTCAATTTATAAGAGCCATGTGCTTAAAACTAAATTTCTCGAGAGATTTCACATTAAAGATTTAAATGCACAGAACAAGGGACTAAATTATGCCAGAAACACATACAAGGGTCGGGTTTTTACAGGTTGTATGCGAAGTATGAGAAACGCGAGTTTTGGCTTTTCGAGGTGAAGTTTTGGGGTCATGTTATTTCCTAGAATGGGGTCATAGTAGATCCTTCAAAGATTGAGGCAGTGCAGAAGTGGAAGCGACCTAATAAAGTTTTTGAGATCCGTAGCTTTTTAGGCCTTGCTGGTTATTATAGGCAATTTGTGAAAGACTTATCCACCTTAGCCTCCCCATTAACAAAGTTAACCCGAAAAAGGGGTAAAGTTTATTTGGAGTAAGTCTTGTGAGAAATCCTTTTTAAAGCTCAAAACTAGATTAACTACAGCATCAATTCTGATTACTTTGGAGAGAGAGTTGGGCTATACCATGAAATGTGATGCTTCTAGGGAAGGTTTGGGGTGTGTCTTGATGTAAGGGGGTAAGGTGCTGGTGTGTGGTTAGCGTTAGTTAAAAACTCATGAGAGAAACTATCCAACTCACGACCTAGAGTTAGCCGCGGTTATGTTTTCCCTAAAGCTTTGGAGGCATTATCTATACAAGGAGAAATTTGATGTGTTTTCGGATCATAAAAGCCTCAAATGCCTATTTTCTCAAAAAGATTTAAATTTACGTCAGAGGAGGTGGATGGAGTTCATGGAAGATTATGACTTTGAATTATATTATCATCCGGGAAAGGCTAATGTGGTGACCGATGCCTTCAGCAGAAAATCTGTGAGCATCGTTGCTAGTCTTGCCATGAGAGAATGAGAGATGTTGGGCGACCTGGGTCAATTTGACTTACACGTTAATGAGTCTCCAGGACATGCTACCTTGTTTACTATCTTTGCATAACCAACACTCGTAACACGGGTCATAGAAGCACAATGGAGTAATCCAGAGGTAGAGGTAATCCGAAGGAAAATATCCCAAGAGAAGGAGGATGCATCCGGGAGGCACAAAAATGTACCGTGATCTTAGCCGTCAATTTTGGTAGAGAGGTATGAAATGAGATGTGGCATTGTTTGTGTGTAAATGTTTAACTTGCCAACAAGCCAAAGTAGAACATCAAAGGCCAGCCAGGTTGTTGCAACCCTTACTGATAGCCGAATGGAAGTGGGAGCACATCACTATGGATTTTGTCTCGGGTCTTCCTAGATTGTAGAGGGGTAATGATGTGGTTTGGGTAATTGTGGAGTAACTAACTAAGTCAACCCATTTTCTTGCCATGTGTGTAATTCAGTTGACTATTTGACCGAACTTTATGTTAGAGAGGTCATTCGACTCCATGGGGTTCCAGTGAGCATTACCTCAGATAGAGACCCTCGTTTTAGTGCACGGTTGTGGCAAAGTTTGCAAAACTTTATGGGTATACAATTGACTTTTAGCACCGCCTACCACCCCCAAACTGACGGGCAGTCGGTGCATAACATTCAAATCCTTGAAGATATGTTGAGAGCTTGTGTCTTAGACTTCAAGAGTTCTTGGAAGAGACATTTACCTCTAGCGGAGTTTGCCTATAATAATAGTCATCAAACTAGTATTGGGATGGTGCCATTCGAAGCTTTGTATGGGTGTTCGTATAGATCACTAGTGTGTTGGACTGAGGTGGGGGATTCACCTATGCTTGGTCCCAAGTTAGTTCATGAAACCACCGAGAAAGTGGCTCTCATTCGGAAAAGGTTGATCACGGCTCAAAGTCGACAAAAAAGTTATGCCAATCGGAGGAAAAGACCTTTATCTTTTGAAGTAGGTGATCATATGTTTTTAAAGATATCACCTAGAAAGGGCTTGATGAGATCTGAGAGCAATGGGAAATTATCACCTAGATTCATTGGTCCATTTGATATTATAGAACGGGTGGGAGAAGTAGCCTATCATCTTACCTTACCACCACAATTATTCGGGGTACACAATGTGTTTAATGTTTCAATGCTTCGTAAGTATGAACTTGATGCTTCTCACGTTTTAGATTGCACTAGATTAGAGGTAGACGAGAATACTTTTTATAAGGAGCGACTTATGAAGATCTTAGACTCCTGAGAACAACTCTTAAAGGGCAAAACCATTCCTATGGTCAAGGTGTTGTGGCATCATCACGGGGTAGAAGAATTTACTAGGGAATGGGAAGCCGAAGTTTGTGAGAGGTACCCAGATTTGTTTAAGGATATGTAATCTTGTTAAATTATTGTTTGTCTTGACATTGTGTATCTTGGTCAGTGGAGTAATGAAAGGTGTTATTTTGTTTTTTAAACCTACACTTCATACCACTAGTTGAATTGAGACTTGTTTTCGTTCTCAATTAGTAATTTTGTGATTGTTGGAATCATTGTTTCTATATCATTCGTTTTCCCTTGAGTTGGTGGGATTGCAACTGATAGGAATCATGAAATTTTGGGGATGAAATTCTTTAAGAAGGGTAGATTGTAATAATCTGTTCTGGGACACCGCTCGAGTGGTCTATCGGTCGCTTGAGTGGAGATACGAAGTTCTTAGTATCTTGTCTATTTGCAGACGAGACCGCTCAAGCAGTGAAGGGGTCGCTCGAGCATATAAATAAGACTCCTCGTATTTTCATTGTAACTTTGCAAAACTTCTGAGACCTTGCGTTTACCGCCCAAGTGGTGGATAGTTAACTCGAGCGGTGGAAAGTTCACTCGAGTGGTCTGTTCGGTACAACACACTTAAAAGTCGATCCAAACACTTTTTCTGTTACTTTTTCCATGTATTCTCTCTCTCTCTCTCTCTCTCTCTCTCTCTTTCAGCCATTTCTGAAACCCTAGTCCCTAAACACTTGATTTCCTTTGATTTCTACAAAGATCCACTTTAGATCTTCAAAGAGGGTTGAAGAACAAGCCTATATCAAAAGTCCTACCAACTGTTATCTCCTTTCTTGAAGTTTGAAGTTGGGTATTCACCTTTTTCCTTCAATCTTGAGGTAGGGGTACTTTTAACTCATTATAACTTTGATTTGGGATAAATATGTGCTACTTTCATTATGCCTATATAGATATCTAATAGTGTGAAGAGTGGTGTGTTATTTAATAGGTTTGATAAAAAAGGGGGCCATCTCATATGAAATATTTAAAGAGTTTATGTTTGTGTTGATGATGATGTTATGGGTGATAAGAATTGACCTTTAAAAGCTTTGAAAGGGAAAAGCCCCAATTTTTTTTTTTTTTTTGAAAACCCTAGCTTTCAAATTGCTAAATAAGTAGGGAATTGTTTGAATTGACCTTCCAATCAAATTGAATGTATTGACTTGATTATTAAGTGGAGATATAAAATATTGGGAACTTTGATGATGATGGGCATAACTAGAGGAATTACCTTAATTGGGAATGCATAAATTGTTGGATTGTTGTGAATTGAAAGCTACCTTAGGGACATTGAGATTTATAAACTCATGCATCATATGCATTCATTAATGATACCTGTGGCTTGGAATTGTTGATGTTTGGAACATACGAAGGGGGTTAAATAGCGTTTGAGTCCGGGTTGTGAGTCGAGTCTTGGTTATGATGTGTGTTATACATATTGGTACCCGTACTGGGAGTCAAGGTGCCCAATTGCCCTATCTTGTGCATATCGCTGGACGAATGTGGAAAAGGTTTTAGGGTGTCAACGACCCTATTGTTTTTAGAGTTGGCGAATGTGGAAAATATGATTTTGCAGGTCCACGAGCCTGCCGTTTCTGGAGTCGGCAAATATAGAGGAATGAGGTCTTGGGTGCTTGTAGTTGGTTTTTCGCGCTCTTTGGAGGGGTTTAGTCTCCTCGGACGAGATTGCCCTACAGTTCGGACTCCCGTGGTTCTAATTTGGTTTCACAATTTGGTTTCACAAGTGCAATGTGAAATAGAAAAATGAATGAGAGTCCAAATCCGACAAATCTTAGAAAATTCATTAATCATCAGAGATGCCAAAAATAGATTGTATTGCCAGATTTCAGAGTCACCACCTAAATATTTTTGGAAAATTTAGGAAACTTGTGACTTGTGCCAAAGGCCACTTGTCCATCATAACCAATGTGTCTCAGTTCGGAAACTTAGGAATAAGAGGGGAAGGTCATGAATTGAGCACCCCACTCACTCGATCAAAGATCGACATCTACTAATTCATGATGTGAATTTTGTGGACATTATATGCTCATGTTCTGATTATTTAATATACTAACATTACTATGTGAAGTAAACAAGTATGGACCATGTCATTTACTTTGGAATGCTTTGATTT